CGAACTTCGAGGGCCAGTATGTCACAGGGTTAGCTACTTTGATTCTTTGCGATCTTGCTACGGCAGAAGAAGTGCAAAAACGCATAATCGCACCGGCTCGCCTGGTGCGTTCCAGCCTGGGTTGCCGTTTTTGTAATTGCCAATTTTCGGCAATTACAATAATTGGCCAACGCACGGGCTGCCCGTGCGAAGATGCGTTTTTTGCATAGTTTCCTGCAGTTTTTGTTGCTACGGCACCGGTTTTACCGGCAAATGCTTCTAGCTAAACAAATTAAAACTGGCCGTTAGTCAAGAAACGCTCCCTTAAAATTTAAGATTTCAAGCTTTCCTGGCTTCTGAGTTAGCAACCTACTCAAAAAAAAAATTTCACAGGGCCGAATGTGGGTACCACGCTTACCCGAGGGCTGGATTTGAGCTCATTAATACCTACTTGGACGGGGAACACCCACTTAAGAGTTCAGCTTTCTAGCTTCTTAGATCCCCGAGTTATCAACTTACCCGGAAGAAATTCTGGCGAGACCGCACGTGGGTGCCACGCATACCCGGAAGCTGGGTTTGAGCTCATTAATACCTGCTTGGATGGGGGCATCCCCTTAAAATTTCAGCCTCCCAGCATTTCTGGTTCCCGAGCTAGCAGCTTACCCGTAAAAAACTTTGGCGGGCTCGTACGTGGGTATCACGCGGATAAGGGCACCCATTTTGGGATTGGGCCCGTACGTGCATGTAGATTAACCTCCCCAAGTTTCAGCCCCGTAGCTTTTGTGGGTCTCGAGATGAAAAACTGGTACAGACTTGCAGCGCACACACAAACAACCTCTCGTCAGTATGCGTTTTCTGCATTGCATAGCTGCAAAAAAACGCATAAAAAAAGGTATAACTGTTGTGCACAGTTGCAGGCTGTAAGAGGCAACACTATGGAATTTTCTGCAGTTCTTGTGTAATCCAGTTGGACTTGTTTGCCCTCAGCTTCACCTAAGTATAAGTTCTAGTAAAACCTGTCGAGCTTATTTGCCTCAGCTGCACCTAAGCATAAGCTTCATTGATTTTGCTTTTTTTTTCCTTTTATTCACAAACTCAGGTTTGTCTTAATTTACTTTTCTTTGTAGTGCTGTGTTGGTTTATTTTCCTCTTTACTGCTATCTGCAGTTCTTGCTTCGAACTCTTTAGTAGCACCCTTCTTCCCCTCCTGTAGCCTGCCCTCAATTCATGCCTCCAGAGCATCGGGGCACCACGACCTCCAACCACTGTCACCGTTTATCGTCCTGAACTCCTAACCACCAACTTCATTCCTCACCATTATCCTGGCCTCAACCGCACCCTCTCAGCTGTTTCAGGGCAACTACCAACAAACATCCGCAACCACGTCCACCCCTCCCCCCCCACCCATCACACCCTCGGCTACGATCCAGCCGCTAAACACTCAGTAGCGCTGCCCAGCGCGTCTGGCAAAGTTCCAGCGTGCGACGCCGCGAAATAATGTTGGAAGAGATGATAGAGCAAAGCGCTGTGAGGCCAAAGCACCATGGATCATCAGCGGAGCCGAGTTATTATAATTGCCGGCTTGTGTAAGGGACGAGAGGAGTCGAGTTGGGCTTTTATAATTGCCGATCGTTGTGGGGCGTCCTTTGCCGTGGTCTCCGTAGGTGAAGGGGACTTCCCGGAGGGGGAGACCTTGGGTCTAAGGGTCGTGGGATGTGTCCTTAGAAAGCTTGTACTTCATCTTAGCAACTGAGAGTTTGTCGCGGTCTTTTTGGGGGCAGTCTTTGGCGATCTATGTCACATTACCGAGCATCCACGATCGCACGTTGCGAACGAATCCATGGGATCTCGAGGTGTTCCTGGTTCGGTCCGGGACTTCGTTCCTCCCCACTGCTTTGGTGACAGTCGCTGGGATTTCGTAGAGTACTTGGGTCATCTGTAACATACTGCGATCCTCAAACGATTTAGCTGAAATATTTTTTGGTTGCTTTCATTAACGAAACAAACAGCAGAATCGCCGGCGCGCCTGTGGTCAGCGTTGCTTCTTTAACGGGAGGGATTATCAGCTCAGCGGTTTTCTTGACAAAAGCATCCGAGGAGTCCTTGTTGTGTATTGAGCAAAACCACCTTGTTCCACCCCCTGAGATACCTTATCGACTGGGAGCTGGGATTTAACACCTTGTGCAGACTTTTGTAGAAAATTTACATTCTGGACTGAATAGGAGTTATGCGCCTGGGAGCTACTCGCAGCTTACTAGCAACAAATAAATGGCCTGCGCGAAGATGCGTTTTGCCTGTGCGAAGATGCGTTTTTTGCATTGTTCCCGTAGTTTTTGTCGCTACCGATACCGGTTGTTTCGGCAGATGCTTCTAGCTAAGAGAACTGAGACTGGACACCAGGGCTGTTTGAAAACATCCCTTTAAAATTTCAGCTTTCTAGCTTTCCTGGTTTTCGTGTTAGCAACTTAACCCAAAAAAAGAACTTTCACGGGTCCGTACGTGGGAACCACGCATATGCGGGGGCTGGGTTTGAGTTCATTAATACGTGCGTGGATGTGAGCATCCCCTTAAAATTCTAGTCTTCTGGCTTCTTAGGTTCTCGAGTTAGCAAGTTATTCGAAAAAAACTTTGGCGGTTTGCACGTGGGTATCACGCGGGTAAGATCGCTCATTTTGGAGGTGGGGGCCCGTACACATATCTAGATTAAGTTCCCAAAGTTTTAGCTCTTTAGCTTTTGTAGGTCTCAAGATGAAAAGTCAATACAAATGCACAGACATACACAGGCAACCCCTCGTCATTAGCGCTGCACAGCAAAAACGCATAAAAAACGCATATTGTTGAGAGGCTGTCTGTGTGTGTATGTTCGGAAAGCGAGTGCATTTTGTCACCAACTTTCAACTCGTCAACCAGGAAAGCTGGGAGACTGAAACTTTGGACATATGTTCCTACCCCGTGTGTCATCCTTCCGTTTTAAGATGTTCCCCACACGCGCCTAAACCCCCGTACGGGACCCCCAAAGAAATATGTTGGCGGGAAACGATTTCGCGAACCAGGCAACGTAGAAAGCTGAAACTTTTGCAGGGATATTCCTTATGCACGTGCGAAATAAAAATTTTAAACTCAGCCCTCTAGCTCCCCAAGCACAGCCTCAAGCAGCTCCTGAACCCGCAAATCGTTATCAACTCAGGCCTGAACCGCAATTGTATGTGCAAATGAACGTGCATTTTTAGCAACTCAGACCTGAACCGCAATTGTATATGCAAATGAACATGGTTTTTTTTTAAAAAACGACCGTTCGAGCAATTTTTCAGTGAACTAAAAATTTGAGTATTTTCAAAAATTCGTTCGCAGCTCGGACCTTAACCGCAATCGTATATGTAAATGGACGTAGATTTTTTGGAAACGACTGCTCGAGCAATACTTCTATTTTTTAGTGAACTGGAAATTTGCATTTTTTCAAAAAATTTGCATTTGTCATTTTTTTTGCAAAGTGAGCATTTACCGAAAAAAAACGACCGGGCTTCATGCAAAAACCGGTAATCATGCACCTGTATATCCGTGCGGCTCTATAATGTACCACCTTAATCCCAACTGATGTCCCTGTTCCTGCAAGCTCTTTCGCGCCCTCGTCACCCCTCTAGGAGCTCCACTCCCCCATCCTCTCACCCCGGCGGCTGGTCCCCCCACCTCTCTACCCCAAGAAACCTGTCCTGAGCCTACCTATGCCGTCCACAAACACAACACCGCCGTCTGCGAGCGACCCTGAGGGACAGTATTTGCCTGCCTGTGCGACCGATCGCGTATGCAGTTCACATAAAAATGCATATGGTCGCACAGGCAGGCAGTTACTTAAACTCGGTCGAATTGGGAGACAATCTGCTCCCGCCGTGGTGTCTCTACTCAAGTGACGTAGGATGAAAGTGGGAGGGGTTGGTGGTGACGATTTGGGTGTCAGAGATCATCCTGGGGAGCGGTAGGAGGATGGAGGGAGGGAAGAGGGGCTTGGGATATTGGGGAAAAGCTGGTACCCTGTCTGAAGTAGGAAGACGAGGGCAACGATTGTGAGGTGAGAGAATTGTCTGATTTCTATGGAGAACAAATAAAAGGTACTCAATGCGATCAGCGCGAGCACAAATCGTGCACTACCTTCATCCCAACCGGCGAAATGCAGTAGTAGTTGGAAATGAGACGTGTACCAGTTCACCAGAACCGGGAAAGCTAGGAATTTGAAGTTGTCCTGATCATTGTGCGGGGTAACGATGGGTCGATAATTCAGCGATTCGCACAAATGATTAAACCCCGTCTTCAGCTGAATGGTGGCATAATGTGGAATTCCCTTCTTTCTTCCCCATTCCCCCTCTATGAGAGACTGTACTTCGAAGTTTGATGCAAAAACGCATGATCACACCGGCTCGCCTGGTGCGTTCCAGCCTGGGTTTGCGCATTGCAAAGATGCAAATAACACATAAGAACGTTGTGTTGCAGTGGGATTAGTGATGCACGTATTTTATGCGTTTTGTGCCGTGCAACAGTTGCACAAAACGCAAATTATCACAGCGTTGTCTGTGTGTGTGTGTGTGTGTGTCAGATTTGGTGTAATTGTTTCTGGTTTGTGTATCGTTTTGTGATGGTAACCAGACCGTACCCTTCCGTTGTCTGGTTGTGTCGTATTTTTGGACCGTGAATTTATGTGGTATGCTGTGATTTGTAGTATACTGCTAGTGGTCAGTGATGCTCGTACTGCGACATTGTGGTTTCCTCAGTCTGTTACGGTATCTGTTTGTAATGGGCCTGAAAGTTGTCTGTTATGGAGCTCTATCGTGCTATAGTATAGCCGATGCGTTATGTGATAAAAGGGTTTGTGTGGATGAAGTGCTGTTCGTTTTAGGTTCATCCAGAATGGCAACAGTACCACTTCTACTGAACGAAGACATTGAGCTGGGCTCACCGCCTCACTACGATGAAGCTGTGAATGGCAAAAGAAAGAATGAAACTCATGCACCGGACAAAGCAGCCATCCGTCCCGGTTTCTTTCATGGCGATTTCGGAGAAGCAGCAGCGGGCATGGGAGCTGTGGCATTCGCAAATCTCGCCATAAGATTAGGTAAGAAGCGTACCTGCTCTTGGGTACCTTTCACGAAACATACTTTGGCAAGTTTCTTTTGGCGATTTTTAATTTGATCGATGTTACTGATAACATTTTCATCATTGCTCTGACCAAAGAGGGGACAACTTCTCTTTCTTAGGTTTTTATTTCACTTTTTTTTCCTTCATTGGAGTGGAACATGGCTGACTTTGCGTTCAGTGCGGTCTCTTTGCTTTTTTAGCTCCCCCATAAGTGCCTCT